TTATCAATGTTTCGGTATTTTTATTTCTATACCGTCAAACAGAAGATGATCCGATTCGCCTTGGTATACTCTATCTACAAAGGAATCTATTAATGATCGTACTCACCAAAATTGTTAATCATTCATCAGCATACAAGGATATTACATATATTTTATTATGTTCCTATTGTACGTACCAGCGCGATAGGTTAGTCCCGCACCATGAGTCAATAATTCCGGTTCCCTCATCCTTCTCGGTGGCCATATTGTCGCTTTGCAAGAGACAGTTCCATTTTAGGAGTCAGCTCCTTCTCCGAAACGCAATTTGGTTCATTGATTCGCCGGGATTTTAGCAAGATTAGTCCAGATAAATAGGGGTAGAGCATTCTGTCCGTGAGTGGAAACACGGGCGATCTTCGTTTCCCTGGGAAACCAAGAAATTACGTCGCGGCTTTCGACGATCATCTGATTCAGCCGCGTACACACTGGTCTCCATCTAGGAATCTATTGCAACGCGTGTCCCTGACGCTCACGCTTTATTCGAGTTCCCTGAATCACGAATATTTGCCATACGTGCGTCACATATGCATAGATGTGCGCGTTTAGACCAGCCTTTTCTTCGAATCTTGCTGTTTCACTTCCGCGGAATTTAACACGTTGACTGCCATGGCTATTGCAGGAATGATCAACACTTCCGAGTTACTTGAATGCAGTTAGAATATGTAAGACGATTGGGGTCGAATTAAAATGTTTAATACTATATAGAACTACCGAGCAGTTAAATTGATTTTTTCAAATTTTTCTATAGGAACTTTAAGAGTGTAACTACTGAGAATTAAATTGATTCATGACTCAGTTTGAGTGTTACCGAATTAATTTCATTAGTAATTTTTCAGAGAAATATCTATCATCTCTTCAATAATAGACAAAACAGAATTTAGGAATGTTAAACTTAGTTGCTAATGCTCAGTAATTAATATCAAATGCCATGAACGACCTGTCCATAATTATTCAAACAGCATTAATAACTAGGCAATGGTGAACGGATCAAGTGTTTCTAATGTTTCTCCCGAATAGTAAATTAATAATAAAAATAAAAATAATTATAAAATACATCATTTTAATCGGAATTGTGCAATTCTCGTCGGGCCGGAGCATATTCGAGCGGATCGCGGGAGGAAATGGGAAACGACGAAAACAGTGACTTTTCGCTGAGACAATGAAAAGACCCCGGATGAATTTCAATCCGGGAACAATGGAGATGTTCAGGCGCGGAAGAGTCAAATACGATTCAAGGAATTTCTGGGTTTCGCTTCGGAGGTCCGAGATATAATATACAGGGTGTGCCATAATATGCGAGACCCAAGAATGAATAGGAGACGCAGGAAATAATGAAGAATCTCCTATTGTATACGTTGATGAAGTTCTTCAGCATTATGAAACTGAACAGTTGGTGATTACTGAAACATGGAAAATTTGCTATAGGTTTAAAATAAAGTCAATTGGAATACATATCCATATAAAAAGTAAATTCGATGCTTTCTGAATCTAAAAGGTTCAAGTTATTTGAGATTTTCTCCAACAAGCAGCATCCAATATGAAAATTTCTTCGTTTCATCATTGCTAGCTTCGTCAAAGGTCAAAGACAAACTGATACATTTCATATGAACTCTTATCATCGTTTTTGTACCTACTATTGAAGCAGATCCTACATGTTATGGCACACTCTGTATATTTTACGCTAGCACGAATACCAGGCATCGTTTGTACAGTTCGACCACTGATATAGTAGCTGCCGATCATCGATTCCAGACAGCATCGCGAAAGGGGACGAGACCAAGCACGCGCTGTATACACTCGCTCGCAGGTAGAACTTTCTAGTATTTGGGCTCACTAAATATAGCGCGAGTCTACTATAAATCCCAGGTTCCCGGACTTGCTGAAGCTCAAGCGGCTTGTCTCTGCCACGATGTTCCCTTGAACGCGTCGGTTTTTTCGTGTGCGGTTCAAACATCGCCGCGAAACGACGTCGATTCGTGGGTTTCAAGTGGCGGGAATTTTGAAAGCAAGAATGCACGTAGAACAGAGGTGTGCAAAGAAACCGCTAGTTGTCATTCAAGATTTGCAGCAGTGAGTTTTTGCATGGTAGATACAAAATCAATTACAAAACTATATTTTCACGGAAGCTACTTGCATAGAATTTATTTATGCTATCGAAAAGTTTGTATCTGTTTAAATGCTATTTAAAAGTGGCATTAGATAAATGATATTACGATAAAAAAAGCACTGCACTTTCAATATTTTACGTACTTTCTTATATTTCCTGCGTTCTGTGCCATAAGTCCACAAAGATCCGCAGTCTACTAATAAATATAATTTACGGCTACGCAAAAGAGTTTCAACAGTGATCTGATCACTGGAACGTCTTTGAACATTTAGAACCACTGACGCGGTTGAGATACGGAACATGAATTCGCGCAATGAGCACGGGTGAAAGTCAATTGTGTCGGGATTGTCTTTGGCTTTGAGCGCATCCGTTCGCACGCGCGACGACTGCCGATGATTTCGTTTCGTCGGCGGTCCAATTAGATCCCTCTAGAGTGGTGTTCGGTGTTCGCGTCGATCTCTCATTACGATTTCACGCGCGTTTCCAACGGGTCGGACGGTTTTGCTCTAGAGTTTGAAGTCGAAGCTAATTAAGCCTGATTCACGCGAGCCGTCACGGTACGATTAGACCTCGTCTACTTTGTTAGTTAGATACCGGTCAATATCGGTCTCATGGAATTCTATAGAAGCATTTACAGTAGGTATGCGATTCGGTTAAATCGAATGAGAATCTATTGACCGTTAAGTTGATTCGCTAGCGATCATGATAGAGGCGACTTGATCTTCAACCGAGCGTTGTCGAAAAGAAATTAGAACGGACCATGTGATTTCAGTTACGAAAAATATCGTTACATAGCTCATTAAGTGAAGTTACTGATTAAAATAGGAAAGAATCTTTGAAAATCTTTCTTTCTAGCGATTCTTTACTAGAACTGCCGTCTTTTTGCTTGATGAAATGTCCTCATTCAAAATTAACAGAATTTCTATTAAACCATATAATTTTGTTACGACTAAAGCCTACAAGAAATGCAAAGATTTGTCAATTATTGTAAACATATATTAACTTTTGAAGTGAAATAGTGAAAGTAGCAAAACAGTCTTACCCTGCAATCCACGTGGAACATTGATTTTTGTTCAATCTGGTAAGCTTCACCGCGAGTCTTACTCGTCATTATAGAGAAAAAGGGTTGAAGTATGTTTTAAGAACCGTATTCTTCCTTTCTCAGGTGAACGAAGAAAAATGAAAGAAACCGCAACTAAATTCGATTGTTTCTAATCGCTAAAACCCTGCATTGATAGATCGTAATTTGATCGTAACTTTGGCCAGTATGAATCAAGCTTAACGCGCAAATTCTGTCCAAGCAGGACGACAGGGGAAGGAAAACAGCGAACAGCTTTTAAGTTCGACCAGCTTTTCCGAAACTTTCAATTCGGGCTGCTTTTGGGTACAGCCTTAAATGTTAACGAGGCGAGAAGGGTGGAACTACTTCTCAGTCCCGCGGCTATAAATATTTATTGCTTTCAGCGCGAACTCTCGATCGTCGAACGCGTCACACTGGTGCCAGATTGCTGGTCTCGCGAACCTTTAGAATATTCACGGGAAAGTCGATCGGACGACGGCCCTCTCTTTTTCTCTTGATGGTCCTTGTGCGGAACACGATGGATCAAGAGGGTGGTCACGACGTTGGCACCCTCTCAATGACGATCCCCTTTTTCCTTGCGGCTGTTACGGCGTAGAAGCGTCAAGGTCAATGTTCCTGTTCCTTGCTTGACCAGTCTTTTCTTCCGTGGCGTTGACAGGAATGAATTGAACGTTCCATTAAGCGTTTCACTTCGTAATTATTTAATACTACGACCGATAAAGTCTGTGTTAGATAGTGTAGGAAGTATCGTAACCTAGTCGTCTGTTCCCATTAATCGCCGCACGGAAGTTCACACATTCCAGTGCCGAGGCACTTGATTGTTCGTTTACATAGCATAACTCTGGGTAAGATGGTCCGATCTCATTCAGACCGTCAAACGTTTACATTTTCAATTATTTCTGGTACACTGAATCTCTACAGAGGTCTATTTCACTATTCTTCTTACATCTGCTCACTTTCACAAATATACTTTTTGTTCAATATCAATGATATCCGTAAAGTAATAATTCTTTCAAAGAAAATAACCCATCTTCTCCCTACTTAGCCCAATACACAATACGAACGAATAAATTGTATACAACGATACTAACAAATAAACGTTGCACTGTCTAGGTCACGGAGGGAGGTTCGAAAGAGCCCAGTGCCGTAGCATGCCGGCGAGCTGCAGCGTGTGGTGGGGCGTCTCTGAGAGAGCGCGTCGAACGGCGTCGTCGGGCGTCTGCAGGAGCGTCTGGGCCAGAAGGCAGGACCAGGAGGAGCGTGTTTACGCGCGGCTAACCGGAAGAGTAGTCGTCGGCGGCGGGGGCGGGACAGTAAACGGTAGGG